TTAACTTGCCAAGTTTGGGGAAGATTCGTAGAAAACTGGCTATGATATAGCTAATCAGTTTTTCATCTGAGAGCCATGCCTTAATGATGCTGAGCACCATACTTAAGAACGTTCATGGGCAAAAGATCTCATCGTCAGATTTTTTAAAAACTTTGCATGATTAAAGTTCATCATGCTAGAAGTAAAATAAGCACATAAAAATGGGGTCTATACTTTGTTCAGCCGTCAGGATGCGTAGAAGGTCGCCTTTCATACGGTAAAAACGCGCAAACAATGTAAACATAGAACGCTGTCAAAAACAAAATTACTGAAAAATTAATTGATCGTTCCCATTTTTTACACAAGTCTAGAAAATAACCAAATAACTAGTTATCGTAGAAATACATATGATAATAACTAGTTATTATTGAAATATAAAAGGCTATTGGGCTACAAGTGTGGACTCGGAAGCCTTCACGTTACGTGAAATTCTATTTTCTACTTTCACATCCCCATAATACCTTGCGTCTTTGGGGGGTAACCAATCGAAAAACTGTCCCAAATTGTAAGGTTTCTTAATTGGATTTATACTATACCTGCTTTTATCTGACAATACTGATTATCAGTTTATTCCAAGTTATTTTTGCGTGTGAGTTTTGGTCTTACAGAATATGTATTGGCTTACGAAAAATTTTTTAAAATTTACCTTAAATGTCTTCAAGCTTCTATCTTTTTCTGATTTTACTTCCTCATTTTATTTTTGGATACCAAACAAGGTATTGTCAACATTATCTGATCAGCCTTCAGCAAAATAAGTGGGTTTTTATCCTCTGGTTACCCCCCAAAGACGCAAAGTATTATGGGGATGTGAAAGTAGAGAATTCCAATTTTACACAAAGTATGTAATTTCGATTTGATCCCATCGTCAGATTTTTAATATTTTCCCTCTAAACTGAGTTGGGTATGACAAAGTACTTTCAAAAAAAACAAATAAAAGGGGGTTCCTGACTTTGTTGAAGAGCTACAATAGATTACAGACGTTTCTATAGTTTTGCTTGTAAAACATTGGTTGACGTCATCACAATGAGCGCGCGCTCACTAAATTCATGCGTAGGAAGGACAGGCGCAAACAATACCCATGAACGTCCTTAAACCATCAAGTTGATTTATCATGGCGTGACTACGTCACTTTCGTCCGTCCGTACCTCCCTGTATACACCACATGGACTCCCGCTTGAATTCAAAACGAAATTCGCGAATGCACTGAAAGCGTTGTATAAGCATCGCTTTGGGACTAGTTTTGGACCAAGAACAACAGCAACAACAACAACAACAATAACAACAACAACAACAAAATTTTTTTATGTAGTCAAAGATGGATCAAGAAGTGTTTTTCAAGTGTTTCGTTCAGATCACCTCCTATCGGGTCCTATCGGCCTTTCTATCGTTCTTTGTCTTTTGCTTGGAAGTGTCAAATAAGCCGAAACGATAATAATGACAATAACCCCAACAAAAATAAAAACTTGGATTTTCAGTCTTCTGTTCTATACTCTAAATTAATTTAATCGTCGTTACATGTTATAGTGGAGCACCATATTTAAGAAAAATTGGTAACCCATCGAGTTGATTTTGGCTTGAATAGGTCACTTCCGTCAACAGCAACTTGTTTCTTATTTGTAGCAACTCGTCTTAACTAATACAGCAACTTGTCTAACATGCAGCAACTTGTTTCTTATTCGTAGCACTTCGTCTTAACTAATACAGCAACTTGTCTAACGTGCAACATCTCATTTCCTACACTTAACATATATCTCATTTCTTATTTGTTTAACTTCCTGTATGCCTTTTATGGGCCACCGTAAGTATCGGCATAAAGATAACATAGGTGTATAGACTTTTTATACGAAAGGAAAATAAATAAGAGTGTATTGTAGCCCCTTTTTAATGAGAAAGAAAAATAATAAAAAAGAGTACATTGTTGCCCATCTGGTACAACAATATTATTAAATAGATATAAATGTCTTTTTGCATAAAGGTGCATTAAAATTATTTTTGTCTGAGGTTGTTCTGCCGTGTTCTGCGTGTTCCATAGATTCTTCGGCAATCGGACAAGTTCCAATGTATGTTCTTTGTTTTATTTTTATTTTTGATGTATGTTCTCTGTGTTTTAAGAAAAATAGACGCCGTCTTGGAAATATGTCCCTTAATTCTCAAACTCGGAAATATGTGACTAGCAAAGTCCTCCTCCTTTCCATGTGGGATGCGTTTTGAAAAGCCAGCAGTGAAGTATATTAGTTATATGCAAACTTGGGGTGGTCAAAAAGGAAACAGGCTCGGCCTGAGGAGGCACGGCATCATGAAATTAAAGGTGGAGAATTAGAGCTATTGGTTAGTTTTTGAAATTTTGTAAAATACTCATTAAAAAGACGGGACATTCCCTAATTGATTGTGTGTAATGGAACGGTACCAAGGGGATTTATAGCTTACGATGTCATATGGTCTCTCTCATTCAACCACGCTGAATGATCACAGTTATGCCCAGGCCATGTTTAGTTTATTTTTTAATTCAATTCAATTTTACGATTTTAACACATTCAGCTGATGATTATATTCAATTATCGAGCTTAATCTACAGCACTTCGTTAACATGTACATTCAGGCTGTGTGTTACACGTACATTTCTTGCTGTTTTACTTGATGCATTTAAAGTAAGCTGCCCCAGAGTACTAGTCTAGGATTTGTTGAAGGTTTGGCATATGGACCTTTGCGTTTTCCTTGTCAATGTCCTGCGAGAAGAATGAAATAATAAAAAAGAAGGATAGATAAATGACATGAAATAATAGAAATACACATGACATGAGATAATTAAAAAAAGAAGGCTTAGCACACTATGTATACTTGACGTTGATCTAACAAGAAGCTATTGAGGAATGCTTTGTTATCGCAAACCAACATGACGGCCGTGTGTCGTAACATGCACCCCAGGAATCTAAACAACTTTAGCGTGGAAGCAATGAATTAAGCAGTTACGGTACTGACAGCAATTTCAAAAACAAATGTTGACGAAGGATTTGTTACATGTTGTATACCAAACCAGAAATGCACTTGAATCAATCAGCAAAAGTTAACAACGATTTGGAATCTTAGCAAACTTTGTGTGCACTTCTTTTTTTGTTTGTTTTTGTTTTTTGTTTTTTGTTTCATTTGTACGTATGAATATAATAGGTTTCAAGCTTGGTGAACAACTTACAACATGCAGCCGTTGCGAAATGCAAATAACCCTTTACTGAAAAACTTTTTTTGAAATCGGTTGCCATGGAATTGAAAACAGTAAGTTTGTTATTACAGCATTCCTTGATTATAATGATAACCTTTATTTAGACAGGGCAATCCTCTCAGTGTGAATGACACCGACACTTACGTACAATTAATTCTCAAATCGTACTCTGTAGAGTCCCAGTTAAGTTGCTCAAATTTGTTGAGTGTATYATAAACAAAAAATCGCACAATGTTTTCGTACAATTCGGAATTTATAGATACTCGTGATGTTTTGAAAGTTCTCAAATTTCGATTCAGTGTATTTGTATATAACTGAAAAGTATGTATACACTTGCCTGACCATCAGATGGACAGTATTAAATTGTCATTATTGTTTAGTGAGTGGAAGTGGTGAAATTGTTATATCTCTTAGGAAATAGGAAGTTACTGAATGATAATTAGTGTGCTAATTCTAAAACTCAGTTAATAGTACTATAATGGCTTCATACTTTTAAAACATCTATTGCCAAAGTCTTTCCTGAAGCCTATTTTCCGCGCCAACAGTTATCCAATCACCTCTGTCGTTTCTCTTGCAGTTCCGTGGTTTTAAACATATTTTTCTTTGTCTTCGTTGAACATCTTGATCAGCTTCATCGAGACTTTCAATAATCTCTCCGCTCGGTTTCCTTGCGTTCCTTCCATTTATAAGACACGCCATCATGAGAACAATGACTATAGTTACATAGAAAGAAGACGTACTAGAAACAATCTTCATCTTAATCGGTCTTTTGGGACAAAATTCTTGTAAGAGGAATATTATACGAAGCTAAACCAAAGCATTCAATGGTTGAGTGAAAGCTTTCACTAAATCATCTCCTTAAATACTAGTATCTTGTATATAATCATAACTGATTTAGTTTACCACCAACTGAAATGTTCCGAGCGCGCTTTCTTTCTTCTATAACATTATTAGTCTCCCATGTTCTACAGGCGACAAAGAAGGTCAAATCTACCTTCAATGTCGCCGCATGGATAATTATGATGCATTGACATAGAAACAATGTTTTCTTCTGTATACAATCAAAACGTGATTAGAATCTTCTTCCTACAGAGGCGTTTATGTTTCTTGGTGAGCAGCGAGTCCTGTTATCCGGTCGGTACAGTTGGGATTTGATGGAAAGTACTCAGTAAGCACGTTTAGCATTCTTCCTGCCTGCCTAAACCTCCACTAGTAATTGTCTTTTCTCCATTGTTTACACTGAGTTGGATAGCCCACATACTACAAAGACTCTCTGAAAAGTTTAATGAGGTCCACGAATGACGGCAAAACACGTGTAAAAACGCTATCCACACCAAGACCGGGTCCGGCTGACGTAACTGCCGCTATAATACAAACATTTCGTTTCGTTATTAGGTTTTCTTCGGTAGTATTCAATTAATAGCAACAAGAAAGTCAAGGATTATGCGTTTTATTCTTTCAGGGGAAAAAATGGATTTAATTTAATGATTTGCATTCCGCGTCTGGAGAACAGCAACGTAGATTTGTCGGCAGTGACAAAATGAACGTGATTATCACAGAGATATTTTCCTTTGATATTTGATGATTCAAATTGGATAATCTTTACCTGCTACTGAGCTGAGCTTGTGATGAAATCAAGACCAATTGGCTCAACCACAGGGTTACCGCACCCACCTACCCCGCTGCCAAACCTTATTCAAGCAGCCGGGTAAAATAGCTACATTATCCCCCACGTATTTCCGATAAATTAAAAAATGATAGCAATTAACCGATGAGCTACAATTTCAGCCAACTCGATTAGTTCTTCATCATGGTTCAAATTAATTACTTTAATTCAACAAAAAATGTTTTCGTGACACTTCGAAAAAATCGTGAAAATTAATGTGACATATAATTAAAATGTGAGGATAAACACGCCACAAACATTTCATGTAATAAAAGTATGTTTAAAGCAATTATAAATTGTAGACTAATTAATGTGGGTCTTATTTTTACCTATTTTCCAATAATTCTAGTTCCAATCAATCGCCATCGCGTACCCCTTCTTAGTTCATAACTCTCATCTATTAGTTCTAATAGTTAACAACAGCAATGCAGTCTAAACTGATTCTCTTAAGGGTTATTAGCTTTATCTTGTGGAATACCACAGGGCACAATTCTCGGTCCTTACTTTTTCTAATTTATATCGATGATCGATTTGTTTGGACTTCTGCACTGGTAGAGCGATTATACTTGCTTGGTTGTTCAGGCTATTAAAGAAGTTGAAGCCCTTTTTGAATCGTAACTGTTTAATTAAGCAAACGTTTACTGGATTCTAGTAGTCTAGTCTGGGATGGCCGCATTAATAAAACAATTGTACATGAATAACAAGAATTACGATAAGAACTGATGATTACTAAACGGTTAAAACAAAAACAGTATTTTGAGACCTTGTTTTCCTTGTATGAAAGCAGGCAGCACCAAAAGCGATAATGATGTATAAGATTGTAACATAGCTTTGCCGAATTGCAGAGCGAATCTCATTGAAATAAGAGGACTCTTTTACAAAGTTTTGAGGTCAAGAGGTATAGGACTTAGGCAGCTAAATGTGTTTATGATCCGTTGTTTTCTAAGGATTTCAAATACACTTTAACTTTGTAATTATTACTATTTACTTAACCCACAGCCTCAAGGGATACCAGCTCTATGTTTTCAATACTTATGTAGCTGATAGAGTTACCGTGTCAAAAATCACGTTTTTAACGCTGAAATAACATGATAGGGCGACGAATTCTTGAATTTAAACCCTGTTTTTTGTTCACTCCTGATCACAAGCATGAAGCAAAATGTATGATTTTAAACTTTAAAAATTTTTTTGATTCATTAAAATACTCAATTGTAATTAACTTATTTGTATGAAAATCAGTCTGGTTGGCCTTGGTTCTAGTAGCACTGTAAATGAAGGCATGTATATCACTAAGGACACCGGGTTTGATTCTTTGACTCAGTGTCCTATGTGAGTACAGTGACTGAGTAGATTTGCTGGTTGGTTCTCGCCATGTTCTCAGCTTTTCGTTTCTCCGTGAAAATCAACTTGCAACCGTTAAATGCAATATATTTTTTGTTAGAATCAATCAATCAATTTTTATTTTTTATTCCATTTATTTATATATCCATCCATCCGTACTTACCCAATCTTATTGACAAAATCAATGACTTTTTTAAAATTTTCATAATACGATAAATGATGATATAATCATATTATTACTATCACTAACTCTTTACGAAAATGCTCAGTCTACAATAGGTATGTGGGCAAACTAGTTTGTAGACTCAAAGAGTCATATGAGTCAAGTTTCGTTCAGAAGCGCTATGATGGAAACTAACAAGACTACACAACTCGCCTCGACGATCAAACTCAACACACGATTCACACGATCCTGGATTCAAATCAACTATTTTTTACTTGACATTTTTTTCCTTTAGAACCATCGAGCGCCCTAGCAGTGCTCTAGCAGAGCATTCATAAGTCACTGGCGGTTGCTTGAAAGCCTCCAAAACGAAATGAGGCCAAAAACATGCAAGCTACCAAACTTGATGTCAGCTGCCTTTGTTGAATGTATCGATATTGCTTGGCGATTCAAATACCCCTTGAATATATAACAGACACCAGGGAAAAACGTTTGCGCATGCGTGCACTTCAGCACTTCAGAATTTTGAAGAGTTTGAGTGAGAAAATAAATGTTTGTTTTCTTCAAGTATCCAAAACAATTTCGACAGTATACTTTTGTCAAACAAAGATAGTGTATTAACAAACACAATATGAAAGAATTACCCTTAAGTTTCAAGCATGGACACTAAGTTTTAGCATTTTGTGAAGTCCAATTTATCAGGCATGTTTGTAAGTCAAATTTACTTATGTTTTGACTAATTTGCATACGGATTCAGAGCACGCGCAGATGTTTTTCACTCGTGTCATTACCAATAACACATTAGGCTGCAAGAGGTTTATTCACATTATAGTGTTAAAGTTATCAGGAAACTTCAATTTTTCATTTGGTAGAGTTCAAGCAACGAAAAGGAACTGACTTCACGAAGACTCCATAATCTTGCATTAGTTAACAAACGCAGCTCAGTCGAAATAGTAGATTTTTTTCTTAATTCTGCTGAGGTTTATTTGTCTACAAAACCCTTATGACCATAACTATATTTTGCGGTCACTTTTCTTTTTCTTTATATTTTTATTTTCTTTCTTTTCTTCTTTTTTTTCTTTTCTTTTGTGTGTGATATAGCTCGTTTTTCTTGTTGAACATTGATATAAATTGTTCGCGTGGACGTAATTTAAAATCAATTATAAAGGAAAAATGGAAGCCAGAAGTGGAGTGATTTAAGTCGTCTACATAATTACTGTTCATAATGGCTAAGTGGCAAGAATAGCAGTAAAACCATGCGGTGCCATCCAAATCCATTCAAGGCCATTCAATATAACACGATGAGAATATAATGAAGTTATCAAAATGCTTCGACTATCGACAAAATTGAACTTAGGGCTAATCGTAGGTTTTAAAATAAGGACCGTTGTTGAAAGTGATCTTAAGACCCTTGGTCCAAGAACAATGCAATAATTGTACAGTAACTTGTCGAAGTCTTTTATGTGAGGGGATATCTACCAACGCATGGTGCATGGAGTCTCAACCCTGACCGCAGAATACCCGATGTAAAACGATATACATGCACCCGTATACCTATTTAAAAATTGGAAAAAAAACAACGTCGGACCGAGACCGAGTAGCATGCTGTAAATTGTAATTCACAGCCGAACAACGTAGTTTGCTTTAATTTGATTGGAATATGAGGCATAAACCTTAGAGTAGAAATGTAATTTTTTGTATTTTAGCCATAAAACATAATAGGACAAAACTTCTGTTTGGTTTCAGACAGCCTATTTTAGATTTCGTTTGGAAATACGTGTACACTGGTTTGTATTGCAGATTTGTCTCGCAGTTTTATTTTTTCTTTTCTGTTCAAAAACCGCGGAAATGGACACGACTCACTTGTTGTGTGTACCACATAGTTTTTTTTCAGATTAAGTCATAATTTATCAAAGCGCCATCCAGATTATCGTGCTTTTCTTTCACCGAAAGCATCGTTAGTTTTTTTTACCGTGAATGATTGTGTGTCGTTAACGTTGACATTATCATACCGTTTTACCCACTAACAATACTCTCTTTCATCGTCCATCATCAAGTACACTCTTCACTTCAACCACCACTTACCGCTATTAGCGACGCTTACATTTTCCATTTAGACACTCCTTTGGTGTTTGCAACCGTTGATCCCACGCATGCTATCGAGTTCCGTCCTTAGAGACGTCAGCATTAGTGTTTGTGAGAAATTGTTTGTCGGGGAAAAATCCTAACACTCATGTACGAATGTCAACTGTTTTCATATGCGATATTGCTTAAAATATTGCTCAAATAAGTGTGAATATCGCTAAGGCTGTAATATTGAAAGTTCGGATCGTCCTTGGACTTCTCAGTTGTGACATTAAAATATTCATGACATTATCTTCAACCATCAAAAAACCACTTGATAGTACGCTTTCATTTTTGTTTTATGAATATTTACAATTTCGAGTTATATAAGAAGACAACTATTCAGTAAAGAAGGCATTCTTGTTGAACTGCGAACGGTGTCTGCATCTGATCTTTGCCTCAGTTTGTTCTCCAGTTCAGTCTTATATGCAAAGCTGTTAATCCGCCATGTTAAATAAAGGATTGATACTTGTTCTTGCAGCCGTCATGTTCTTGGATATAACCGAATCTAGAAGGCCTGAGCCACCCAACTGGCAAGCTTCTGCAGCAGGCAGACCCATGTGTTTTAAAGGAAGATGTAGAACGGGAAAAAGAACTGTCGAAAACCTTAACATTCCCTCGGCTCAAGATTCGATATTCGATGACGAATTACTGGCTAAAAGCCTCCAATAACTGACGTTAAACAGGTAAGGCCCCCCTGTCAGATTAATGGTTGTTGATTTCTTGTCGTACGTGGACCTTTTTATTTTCAGTCTTTACCAAATACACTTATACGCTGTTTTGTCTTTCCTTTGCTTTTTTCACCTGGTTTACTCCAAAGAAATTATTTCAAAGAAATTCCCTGTATCCAACCCTGGCGTTTTGAAATTCATGTAGTTTTGATCACTTCTTTCTGTTCCTTCATGCAGTAGTTGGAGGGTGGGGAGTTTGTACAAATAACCTACGGTAGAAATGTGGTAAAACAGACTGAACACGTATATCCAGCTCATTGGGTAAACGAAATTCCAAATGAAGTTTACAGTAAGTTTAACGAAAGGTCGCTTCTGTGAATAAACGTCTTAGAGTAAACTACTGAAGGTATTAAGAATCACAATTTCGAGTCACTTAGTGAAAGCCTAGTTCAGACAACGATAAACAAGTAATTAGTATATTATAACATTAGTATGTATACTTATAATCTTTTAACACAGTGTTTAATATAAGTTACGTTATCTAAATAAACAAGTGTTAATGCACACTGCACACGTACCTACACAGTCGATCATTTATTGACTTATGTTTGCATTTTTTATTAATCTCATTGCAGGATTTGTTAGATAGAAAAAACGCAATGGTATTCCTTCAGACAACAAGAAGGGCGTCAGTTGGAACAATCCGTGGCTGTGCAAGATATAGACGAATCAAAACAAGTATTCCCAATAAAATCTAATCAGTTCTTGTAGTAAGATTGGAGATATATTTTAACCAATTTATCGCTTATATGAAAATGTATTTATATTCTTGAAACTGTTAATATCAATGCCAATAAAATATAATCAGTATCCTTGTCTTCAAAAACCGTCTGAAATTGCTATAATGAGAACAATAGACGGATGTACTCTGAGTTGGTGAATTAGCTTACAATATATGTTTTCAGTTCAAAAGAAAATAATGGATATAAGCTAAATGAGTTTGAACAATGTAGAGCAATAAAACTGACAGGTGCAGGACTGATGAGTAAACTTACTGTAAAGTGCTTCGGTATATAAAAAGGAACACTGTAGCGACTAGGCTTGGTACGTCGTACAATATAACATGCATTGGGCAAGAACAAAGGAAGACGGGCGAATTCAACTACACTACCTAAAACAACCTTCTAACGCGTGAAAGGATGTCATAGTAAAGTTCATCTAGTTCATTTCGCACATATTATCTAAAACATTATTATTAGCAACCATAGTGAGTTTAAGCCTGGAAAGCTTATCGCGTTCTGGGAAAACGGAGCGAATGAGGAGAATGTCTTGTCAATGGCGATGAGTCAGTCTTCGTATACTCAATATACCTAATAAAATTATCTCCACATAACGACAAGATGGCGTTATAAATCAAATATCGATCAGCACGTAATCAAAATAACTATGTAAACATTAGCTTCAAAAGCAAATACTTCATCCGCTGATAGAGGGTTTAGCAGTAATGGATACTGGCCACCCTGGGAGAAGCTAGGTTTATTGCCTCTTAGGGAAGATACTTCATGCCTCGTTATCCCTGATTAGGCGAGCAATATTCAATAAATTCCGGTCCAAAACGTCCTTGGGTTAACCAATCCAAAACATCACAATACGAGATGATAAATAGTGATGGCAAGTGATTTAGCAATAGTTACAATGATGATGATTGGCCAGTGAGGTGTTATAATATATGTTTGGGATCTTGATCTACTGCTTGAAATAGCCATTGCGAACTTCAAGGAATGATAGTTATTTTATAAATGCCCTCGATGCAGGGTTATGGGACCAAGCACGGGCACTGAGAATGGTACCATCGGCAAGCTTGCTCATTGACTTTTTAACGATCATCTTATAAGGCAGGATTAGACGAGAGGCATACGTGGACTAGCTACGATTAAGTGTACTTATGGTAGACTGGTAATGGTAGACTGGTAATGGTAGACTGGTAATGGTAGACTGG